GTTCATCTAAATGTTTCATTTGTCCAAAGAAAAAAAAACTAGTTCGCACAAAGAACAGATTTATTAGAACAAATCGTCCGAATAATATATAATCTTCGAGCAAATTACAACCAGAACACACAATTCTCTGGAAAAAATATATATAATTCATAATACATATATTTAAATATATTCGTTCAAAGGCATTTTTTTATCTGAGGTTTCAATAGTACCGTATTATAAAATGAAGTTATTGTCTCCCTGAATTTTAATAATACCGGTATGATATTAGACTTCTGACGGTTGTCCGATCATGACGTGAACTGTTAAGGTCAGACGACACGTTCCTCAATACTATATAATTTTTCCTAAGAATTTGTCATTTAAGTATTGCCACTTTAACAAGTTTCCTCTTAAAAAATTGAGGTACCTTACCAGGCATTTGTGCAAGATACCAGAGGATGGTATTTCGTATATAATCCATTTGGTAATATTTTGAATTGCCAATATTACAATTTTTGGTTTACTTATTTTGAAAGACATTTTGAAAACAATTTAGAAATCACAAGAGAATGACAATTATGAATATAATTTTTGATGTTTTACGAAGAGATACAAAACAGATATTTTAGGATTGAGTCGTCATACTTTAAGCTATTTAGTATCAGAGTTACTAAAGCTGTTTAGTATCAGAATACTAAATAGGTATATACTGTAAGATAAATGTACTTCATTTAGTGTACGATATTTGGCAGGAATTAAATTTCGAAACAAGTCAGCGTAGATTTGATTTAGCCCTTCCTGAATGTGCTTTGTATATACACTGTAAGACAATAAGCGATGTACTTGATTTAGCGGAAACTGCTTTCCGCGAAAGGCGCTAAATAGAATACACCGCCAAATGTAATGCGTTTAAAATTTGTGTCCCTGTATTACTGTGATCATCAAAAGTGGTTTCAGTTTAATGAAAGCTACATAAAATATATGCATAAAATTTTTCTTTAAAAAAGTACATTAAGCACATGAGCCAAATAAATAAAACCTAAAAACATTATTCCATTAAAATGACGTATACCGGCGGTTTTTAACTAATATATATAGATAAATCTGCGCATAAGTCGCATTTTAAAGTAAATCGGTAATAATCCTCAGCTTTCAGACCGCAAATAAAATTGCCTATAAAATGTTTTGATATTTTTGTCCCATTGTGTCGAGGGCGTGAGAACTAATCTGCTTCAATGAATCGAGAAATGCTAACCACGAAATTTCATTATGGCTAAGACATCTTCACGGGTATTACTGTACATCTTTTAACGGTTACGCTGCAAAATGGGGTAATGAGTAAATTAAGTTTATTACTGGGCGTGAATATCCAAATGCATGTACACCTTAAAATTAGGGTAATGTTTAGATCGGGTACTTTTAGAATATAAATTATTTCATCCATTTATTTAAATAGTCATTTCATACCAGGATTTCATGACAAGTTTTATAGATTAGAATGAGTGCATATGATCTAGGCTCTTAGAAATCAAATGTAAGCGAAATTTGTATATAAACACACACACACATATATATACATAAATATTTAAAACTATTGTTGTGGAATTTGTATTGTTTCTGGAAATAGTTTTCATTTTTTCTATCATTACCGGTTAGAGAGAGAGATTGAGAGAGAAAAACAATCGGTTAATTAACTCTGTTAAATGTTTCAAATTTTAGTGCAAGTTCTTAAAATCATTCTGAAAACTGGAATATAGAATATCAGTAACTCATTTTATAAAGGTTCATTTGTGAAAGTGCATAATTATTTGTGAAGTACATTTTTTTCCTATCACTTTTGAATGTATATTGAATGAATGTCTTGAATACAGAGTACAAGTTTACCAGTCACAAACTCTGTGTGTAAAGAGTCACACAAACTCTGTGTGCACAGGCATCGTTTCTTGGTATCCTCTGTATTCAAGCCACAATGGTATGCTGATATTATTATTATTATTATACCCCGCTTGAAAAGCAGGGGGTATATGATGATGGGGTGTCCGTCCGTCTGTCCGTTACGCTTTGGGGTACCCATCTCTTATCCGCAACTCCTCTTATACCACTGAATGAAATTTTATGAAACTCTCACAGAATCTTTGTTACATAGTGCCATTGTGCATCTCCAAGTTTTTACTCTTTGATCGGACACATATTTCGGGTTTCCCATAGTAAAACATGGACACTGCCATTCCTTTTATAATATTGAGGGGTACCCATCTCTTATCCAGAACTCCTCCTACACCACCGAATAAAATTTAATAATACTTTCACAGATTCTTTATTACATAGTGCCATTGTGCACCTCCTATTTTACTTTTTGATCTGACACTTATTTCGGGTCCCCCATAGCAAACCATGGACTTTGCCATTATAATCATATGGGAGGCGGGGGGGGGGGGTATCATTTTGTGAGCTCAGTGCTCACAGTACCTCTAGTTTTTTTTTTTTCATATCTTCATGAGCTGTTAACCTCTTCATTATTTTTGATTCAGTTTCAGACAATTGTGGGAATTCTAAATATTTTACATTTACACAAATATCATAAATATGGTATTGTACATCTTCCGTCATCCTCACAACGTCAGGAGTCCTGTGTCAACTCGTTGTCGTGGGACCCCTGACAAATTTCATTCGATATCTTACGGGCTGACAGCAGCGACGTCTTTTTGAAAAATTACAAATCTTGATAATGATTGTTTTCTCATCTCTCTCAACCAATCACATTAAGCCTTTTGGTGATAAACAATGCGTAAAAGGTGCTTTTAAGGTGTAAACTGATTCCCCCCTGTTTACATTATCTGTCTACTTCAATTTTATTTTGGTGCTTCTCAGTGAGAGAAGCAAGTCCGGAAAAAAAGAATTAAATTTTTCAGGGGTCCCACGGGAGTTGACACAGGACCACTGACGTCGTTGTGAGGATGATCTTTCCATATATAACTCTATTGTAGAAATGATTCATTCTATAATATGCTTAAATTTGATCATACTGATATCACTGTAAATGCCTCCTGAAGGCCATTGCTTGGTGAATAAACAATATATATATATATATATATATATATATATATATATATATATATATATATATATATATATATATATATATATATATATATATATATATATATATATATATATATATATATATATATATATATATATATATATATATATGTTTCGTATCGTCGATATCTCCCAAATTATTGTATTTGTATACAAAAACGTACATGTGTTTATAAAGAGAGGAGTAAAGTCTGTTGCACTTTAAAATTTTATGAAATCAAATTCAGTGTGAAGGTAACAGGTTATACGAGTGGTATCAAGTAGGTGGGCAAATAAGTTACTGGAAACCGAGGCAAACAGCAATTAGCCCAAATAAGGACATGACCTATATCTATTTATTATGTATAGTGCAGGATCATATGAACATGAAAAGTGCGAGGAATTTGAAAGTCAGTGACACAAGTTCTTGATTTGGAGAAAAAGTATTCAGAAAAAAAGTAGGAAGATTTGGCGGAGGATTAATTATTTTTAATGGTCATTTTAGCTATCATTATCAATGGCCTTTTAAATGGACCACACCCATCAATATGATGGAAAAACAATTTGAAAATGCGTGACATACAAAGGATATATTCTTCATTTAATGCTTGAATGTTAAATGCGCTAATGGCAACATTTTGAAAACAAACACAAACAGTCTTGTTGCTATACCTATGATTAAATTTAGAAGAAAAAAGTCCTTTTTTAACCATCTTCTCAGTAATGATGAGCGTTCAATTGAATTGAGAAATTGGGAAAAACCGGTTTAAAATGGCTTTAAATTGGCCCCTTTCAGTTTTGAAAATAGGATCAGAAAAAAATTAAAAAGCCTGGCGAAGACGCTGATCATATTTGTCCTTTCTGACGGGAAAATATTCTATAGCAATAACTACATGTATGTTGGTTGTGTAATGTTTTCTTTTTACAAGAGACAGGATTTAACTTATGAAATCTAGAATGGGAAACCTTGTGTTCTGTAAAGTTATATACCACCATGCTATAAACTGTTTGTAAAATCACAAATTTATCCCCCCTTTATTATGAATACTATGTTAAATATAAAAGAAGCCCACTGTTTCAACTGTAGTTATTTATAATCACATGATAACCTTAATGTATGCATTATACATATATTTACTCGCTATGAGGACAATGGCAAGTTTTTTGTCCCCCTAGACTGCAGCTATTCCCCGAGGCGCAGATAATAGCACATCAGTAGAGCTACAGTCTCATCGGAGGCTTGTGTTTTTCAGGCCCGTAGCAACGGTTTCAAAAGTGGGGGGGGGGGGGCAACTTCCCCAAAAATCTGACAAGCAAAAAAAAAAAAAAAAAGAAAAAAAAAAAAGAAAAGAAAAGAAAAAAGAAACCTGATTAACTGTCAAAATCCTGGAATCTGTCAGTGCTCGACCTTAGAGCAACAAAATAAAGGGGGGGGGGGGGGCAACCAACATCTAAAGAAAAATTTACTATAGCAAAATACTATAATCAGAAAAAGGGTGTACCTCCTGCCCCCCCCCCCCCCCGCGTTCTACGATCCTGATTTTAAATTACCATTATTATAACAGCAACACCGGAAAGAAAATAGCTTTGGGATTTTTATTCCAATGGCCAATAATGCTTTGTAAAATTCTTCGATTTAACGAGGACAGCCATTAGCGCCCACAGATGGCAATGCCAGTACTAAACGCCTCACAACAAACATAGAATATCGGCATATTTTCAACACTCGTCGATTATTTGGGGAGGTGGAGGGTCCGAACAATAATTCTGTTAATTAATATAGACTATTTCATTGAAATACGATGTAGTACATCATTATATGTATTAAATTCCATCGAGTGGTACAATCGTTGTATAAGTTACGATAATTGAATGGCTTAATTTTTATAACAATTATAAAAAGTTACCTACCGGTACATAAATTTATATTTTTTCAGCATGTGATCAGGCACTTGGTCTGGAATCAGGGGATGTAAAGAGGGAGCAGCTGAAATCCTCCCCAACAAGGGCGGATCTAGATATAGAATATGGGCGTTATAACTGTTGTTCAGGTACGTTTTTAGCAATAAAATACATGTAGATTATGAAAAAAATGCACTGGTTTAGATAACAATTTCACGCGTTGCAATTTTTTACGTAAATATTTGTACATTGATACATAAAAGATAGTGATGCCAAGTTAATCCATGCTATTCATGCTATAAATATGTTTTCAATAGATTATAGAAATTTAATTTGAATAAGCAGTCCCATACAGTGATGTAAAAATTTGCCTATCTATTTCACAGTTAAATGATGCTCGCTTTCAGCCGCCTTATCTATATATATATTAGGGTCTTGTTAATGATATATTATGGTAATTTATTTTGTGTCGTTAAATTCATGTAATTTGTGCGTAGGCCCAGGTCGTGAAACATGTATCATATCTGATTTAGTTATTAAATATAATATATAATCCGATGCTAAGAGGTTAAATGGATTTAATTCTGAGAAACTGACATCGTCAAAAATTCATGACCGGTCGGGTTTACAGTAGCAGGGGCAAAACAAAAAAAAAGTGCTGACGATCAACCATAAGAATTGAAGAAACATCACATGTATGAAAGGATGTATTCTGCTAAGATAAATTGATTTAAGGAAGTTGTAAACACTAGTGAAAAATGTTTTTGGAATTCTATTAAATTGTATCAAACTGAGTTTATCTAGTCCATTTTCAACATTGGGTATCTGCCATATTTCTTCAGGAAAAATGTTCAAAGACATTGACGCCCTGGAGAACAATAATCACTATGTGTACTTACATTGGGAAAATACATGCAAATATTTAGTGTTATATAATGTTAAAATGTATACTTTCTTCAATTTTAAATTCTGACATTTACTGTAGATTTTCATTAGATTATTCCACTCAACATCAAAGGACAGATCACTCTAACCAAATAGAACTCTTCAGTGAACAGGGTTCAGAGCCTCCTTAAAACTTGTTGAAATTGATGTTTTCATTAAAGTGTTGAAAATATAGCGGGAAACTAGACTTCTTTGGATTTTTCATAGATTTGTCTCTAAAAGCTTATGATCTAGAATTTAACTTTTATTCATATTACACTGCAGAGAATCAAAATGTAAATAGAAAATAGGGGTTAGTGTGCAAAAAATATGCTTATTTTGATGGATAAAATAAGAGAAGTACGGATAAAGAATATAAGACTGACATTTTAGCAGAATGGATCCTTAAATTCAAAATATGAATTATTCCAAGTAATTTTGAAAGCATATAATTTTTAATTTGTAATAAATATGGCCTTCTGTACTTTCAGACTAGTTTTATTAGCAGGTAAGATGTGCAAAAACTGATCAGTTCACCATATCGAATTGAAAAGTCACGTAAGACTTCTCATCAAAGTTTGTTGTCTGTAACTTTTTACTTTTTCGATTTCTCTCCAGAATTCCAATTCTTGGAAAAGGGGAATAAAATAAAAGGCCTTTAAAGGGAAAATAATTAGTAAAATAGAAAAAAAAACTTGATGGAGTGATTTTAAAATCTCTAAATGAACCACTGCGTAGGTCAAAAAATGAGAAAATCCACGCAGAAGCTTTTTTTTATGTAGGAAGATACATGTTTGTTCGAATCTTCCGTCCCCGGAGCTTGGATGAGGTCACACTGTGGGGATTACAGATTTACATGGAGATATATATATATAGAGAGAGAGAAATTCTTTAAGATTTTTTTTTCAGGTTAATTGAAATAAATTTGATTGATTGATTGTGTGTGTTTAACGTCCCGTTTGAGATTTTTATCTCATATAGAGACATCGCCTGCTTTAGGTGAAGTGACACAAATAATGACCTATACTTGGTGCTTAATTCCTGATCCATTTTTGACAATATAAATTCATTATTTATCTGTTTTAAGTAATGGTTCTAAAATTTCTTTATCTTGATTTTAAAAAAATGACTTCAAGAATACCCTGAATTCATCAAAAATCAAAATGGTACCCATTTTTATGAGAAAAAAAATATGGCTCAGGGGACGGATAGCCCTCCCTGACCGCCCCCCCCCCCCCCCTTTGCAGAAACCTGGTGACGGCCCTCTTTTAAACGTTTGACGCCGGTAACGAGATTCGAACGGAGACCTCCCGAACACGAAGTGAGCGGTATTCTAAGTGATGTTACAATCCTCATCATAGTACACAAACCATGGCCTTGGCACTGTATATTACTAAGTGTAGAGAAATTCCACATAAAAATACATGGGATTTTTTTTTTTACTTTAGAAATCTTTTCAAGGAAAGTAGAGCCACAATTAAAAATGGTAATTAGTAATTATCCTCAAGAAGTGAAGATTCAAATTTCCTTTTGCAGGGCTATAGAAAAAGAGTTACATATAATAACAAACGGAATTAATTATCAAAAATTAATCTCATTTTTTTGAAAACTGCAAGGCCATAGTAATACTAAATTACAAGCATCAATTTGAAGTGTCCGTTAATTCCAGTTATGACCCCTGTGGCTAGGATGGGTAACAACTGGGGATCAACATGTTACATAGGAAGATATTCAAATACATTCTCATGAGACACAGCAGGGCCCTAAGTACTCATATGAATATAAATTGAGATTGTTCCAATTTGGCCATAACAGTAACTCAGTTTTTTCCCATAGAGAAGAAATAGGAATGAATAATTGAAACATTCTTTTCAAAAACAACAGGGCAACAAACAATCAGTTAGAATGCAAGCATTCACATGTATGGTGTAGATTCAAACGCTCCACTGGTTAAGACACACTATAGGTTAACAATTTGGTTTAAATTTGACAAATATTTAAATTTCTGCAAGACCATCGGGGTATTTTTTTTTTAAATATGACACACAAAGACTCAGTATACTTTTGAAGGTTATGTAAAATTTTGTATGATACGAGTTGGAGATGTTCATTTCCGAAGTTTTAGTGCTTCCTAAGCGAAATTATTTATGCAAATCACAAGATGTATCTTGAAAAATTCTCTTGTGTAAATTTTATCAGAGAAATCATTTGCTGCTTGGTGTCCCTCAAATGTGACAGCGGAGAATTGGTACGAGGTATCCTTCAGTGGACCTCATAATGTCACCGGTATCAGAGTGCAAGTGCCTGTCAACAATGTCTCAACACACGACCCCTACCTCACAGAATTCTACGTCTTCCTTGAATACGCCTCCGCAAAGCTGGGGAGCCTGGAGATGCTTCAGCTATCTGGAAATATTTCTGTAAGATTTCTTTTTCTCTCAAATGCACACTTTCAAGAAAATCTTGCCTTTCATATTTATACAAAGCTAATGTGTGCACTTGTATTCTTGTATTAAACGTCTTGGAGCAGTAGTTTATTCAATTCAATTCACTTTATTGACAATTACCATGTCGGCATACAGTCATGACATAAAACGAATTAACAAGAATAATACATACATATACAAAGTGACAAATGTGAGTTGAACAAAATAATGTAGAGTATATTCACATATTTCTAAGTATTCATTGCTGACTTTCTTTTCTGGTGTCAAAGCACTTTTTCAAAAAACAACATATCCTTCTAGCAGTTGTAATATTTGTAGGATTGACAATTTTTCTAATGGGATTATCACTAGTATATGTGTTTACATTAAATATATCAGTATAATTGCATCTAAATTGGTCATACTTTGAACAGTATAGAACAAAATGTTTTTCATCTTCAATAAATAATTTACATGAATAGCATAAACGTTTTTCTCTAGGAATAGGGGGTTTACAGTATCTGCCCCTTTCAATATACAATGGATGGGCACTGATCCTTAATTTTGTTAATACAGATCTAAAACTTTTCTTTAAAGGCAGCTTTAAATAACTTTGCAATTTGTATTCATTTTGAACTACAATTTTACTATAAAAAGTTTATATATATATATATATATATATATATATATATATATATATATATATATATATATATATATATATATATATATATATATATATATATATATATATATATATATGCAGTATATTTTACACATTTTGAAAAAATAAATATCTTCTAGTTTAAATTTACATACTTTAGGTACAGTTATCAGCAAGAAAAATTAAAGAGAAATTTTTTGTTGTTGTTGTAATTCACCGTTGATCGAAGCAATAAAAGCTGTAATTTTCGTTTTGGAAACTTTTGCTCTAAAATTGTAATTTACTATTTCAATGAAACAAAATAGGTTTAAGTTACGTGCAACGTTATCATTATATAACACATTTTACAACAAAAGAAAATTCTCAAAAATACAGTTCATATTACTTTGAAAAATAGATGTATACGTATATAAAAGCGGATTTTAATAAAAGAATAATGAGTGTGTATAATTGTGTCAGTTTGATTTATTGTATAACACTTTACGTTTCTTATACACGCTTCGATTAATCAAAAGAGTGGAAACATTATATCCTTTTACTTATTGATTGTTAATTAGTTCAATATGGAACAAAATGACAACAGTAGCTAAAGAATAAAACTTCTTTAAAAATGTGTCACTTTGAAATATACTTCAAACAAAAATTATTTGTAGGTTTTTGAGACAAGCAAAACAGACAACGAAACAGAATTTAGTTGGCCGGGAGAACTGGTGCGAAGGGTTAGAATTATGGTCAAAAACTACACAACAGAGCCCTGCTTCAGATTTGAGGTCATCGGATGTCCAATCGATGCTATTTCAGGTATAATTTCTTGTGTAGTATCCAGACCCGTAGAAAGCAATATCAGTTGGATGGGGGGTAACATAAATTCTTTATTGACAAGCTTAAAAAAAGTCTCAAACGTTTCTGATGAAGAGGTATAACTGTAAATTAGCTTTGTTTCTATTTCATAGTACATGTATCTACTGCGGGCAAAATAATAATAGTGGGATAGGGAATGCCTCCACCCCTCACCCCCTTTCCAGGACCCTGTGTTTATTCTTAATTTATTTTGACCAATAACTTAAAGAGAAATCTCAAGTCCCTGTGGAAAAAATGTGGTCAATCAATATCTCTCAGAATTCATACTTGATGTGAAGTCACGTGCCTTGAACTCGGATTTATATTCGTACGAGTTTAGATTTTATTCATTCCAATGTATATTCCGGATGTTGCAGACGGCGGGTTTCATGTCACTTTTCGAAAAATATTATGTAAAAAAGGCGATTTTCATTGATATAATCTGGATTTGACAAACATAATTTTATTCGGTTCTATAAGATAATATATAAATCGAGATACATCCATACACATAATATGTTGACGGTGCGACCGTTGGGGCGAGCGCAGTGTTCACTTCATTATTATGATCCGCCTCTTCAAACCGCACGAGACATTTGGAACGTCTAGACTGTGACGTCACATGACGTCGTATGTTAGCTGCATTTCCATAAACAAAGTTTAAAAAGTGCAAATATTTTAACAAAGAACGTTTAATCTACTATCTGCATGCAATATCCATTAACTTAAGGTGAGTTTATTTTGTGTGAATTTTTAGTTGTTGTCACCGCGTGAACGAAGTTAGCAGCGAGAACAAGAAGCGATGCATTGTGGGTCAGAATTACTGCGGAAAAAAATTCTATTGAATGAATGTGCAGTAGTCCGAATTTTCTCTTCGCCCAGGCGTTGTCGTTAGAGCTCGCAGTGACGAGCGGCGCTTCGCGCCGCTCGCTATAAGTGCCGCTCCGTATATTCTGTCTGGGTGGCTTGGTGGAGTAACTTGGTGGAAATTCTGAGATTAATTTTTGGACTTGGTGAGGATAATAAGGCTTTACAATTAAATGAAGTTATACATAGATCCCTGTTTTCCCGACACTGGCTTTGTACGACCAAGAGCCAGAGAGGTCCGATTTTAACATATATTGTAATCAGCTGGTAATGTGCAATTTTGTAATGGAAAAAAAAGTTGTTTACATTTAGCAATTTATACTATGGAGGGAAATGGTCGATGTCAAGATTGGATCATCTTCGCTAGCCAAGGGTTTCTGATACGATACTCTCCTCATAAGCCCTTGGCATGCGGTGTTAAAAAAAGTTGGGATTTTTTTCTCAAGCTGTGATTGGAGTTGATCGACATCATTCGACCAATCAGCAATTGTTTTTTGTAAATGACGATATTTGCGTTCGGGATATATCTTGACTCTTTAATATCGGGAATGAAAAACGCAAGTAAACAACGATCCGTAAGATAACATGCCATTCTATGAATAGCTATATGGTGTAATCCAATATCTTAAGCTACGTGCAAAATATGTGATTAAGAATCTATACTGAAGATGTAAATTTGTATTTTAACATGTTTAATAACAAATTAACATAACTCAATACCTTCTTGTAAATTATTCTTTAAAAAACATTATATTTTTAAATACGCTTTTTATTTCTGTCGATGACGCAATCTGTGCGTACCTGGTAAGAAGCGTGATCACGTGACGAAAACAATCCCGTCTTTTGTCAGCACCGTATGCCAAGGGTTTAAGAGGAGAGTAGCGTATCAGAAACCCTTGGCTAGCGAAGATGAGATTGGATATGTTGGAATTTGCATTAAAAGAGCCACCTCTAAAAATTTTTAAATGTTGATGATTTTAATTTGTTTTTAGCTTTAGTTGTGTATATAGGTCATAAAACTCATAGACTTTTAGTTATGCTTGACTAGTTGCAGAACTGTAGTTCTCCGAAAAACAAATTTTTAAATATTGACAGATGGGAGAGCTACAGTGCCATCCATAGAAAAAAAACCCTGAACATTTATTGTGCACAAAAAGTTGCACTTAGTGCTGTAAGTTAGATTTGTTTCTCCAAATTCTTCCCTCAACTGTTTCAAAAAAGTCCTTAGGCCTAGACCTCTATCATCTATGCTCGTAGTTGACATCTGCACGAAGCGCTTTGGACTGAGCTGTCTTGCCACCAAAAATGGCAGTAAAAATACATGTAGGTGAAATTTTTGATGGTCTCAATTTCAGGCCCAGGAGGGCTATTAAAAAACGGTTATGGAGAATGTTTTGTGTTGGAAATAGTTTAAGAATACTGTATGTGTACATGAATTGGCGTATTCAAAATTTAGCACAGTCACTGGGTATGGAGTTGTTGGCGAAATCATGAATCATGTCTGTGCCATATATTGTATTTATGAATGATTTCTTAGCGGTATTCATGAATTAGCGGATCATTGTCTGCACCAAAGCCGCTAAAATGTGAAGCCCGCTTTTTTAAGTACACATACAGTATGTTAGGAACACATGGTTAGTAATATTTTGAGATGGCAGTTTAAGTATACAGAGAAGTAAAGCGAGAAACGGTGCACATTTTGTGCACAATACATTATGCATTTATTTAATGGGTGGCATTGTAGCTCTCTGGTCGTCCATCCCAATTTTTCACTCCAGCAAGCTACAGATTTGCAGTTAATGCTCAACATACTTAGTACTTACATAATAAGTAGATCTATAACTTATTTATTTTCTTTTTATTTTGACATCAAGATTGAATTTTTGCAGAAAATGTGGTCCCTGTTGGAATTGAGCAACCCAAACTTCAGTTCAGCTTTAACAGTTTGTCTGATATGTCAATGGAATGTCAGGTGCAGGATAAGAAAGTCTATGGAATACAATACTGGATTACTTGGAGTGTTAATGGTCAACAAAGAAGGCGTGTCTTGATGGGACCTAGTATTTACAGTTCTACACTTCAGTTATCAACACTAGATTTTAATTCCTTAGTTTCCAAGGTACTTGTAATAAACATGAGAACTTGGAAGTAAAATAGGAAGAAAGATGAGAAAGCCTCAGAGTTTGAAAATTGAAGAAACTGCAAATTTATTTTTTAAAAATTTACCCTTATTTGCTAACAGAAGTTAGAAAATGATGTACTGTCTCTGTTCTACTATTACAAGGTCAGTTTCTAGTCACAGATATACATATCTCCCTCTCATTAAGAAGAGTCGGTGTATATAGTATATATAATTAAAATTGTTAAATGTGTATAGACACTATACATACTTATTGTACAAGTCTACAGTGGTTCATCAATCAATATGTAACCACTCCATTTCAGATTGAGTGTTCAGTAGAAGCCTGTTACAGCTCAGACTGTGTCAATATCACCAGCTCCAAAGTAAACAGTGACCCATTCAGACCTGAAGTCATTGTAAGTCTTTAAAGTTCCTATTGCTGATTTATTTTCAATGTTTATCCATCATTTATTAAAATATCCATTTGTTTGAAATGGAGAACATTTTCTTTGCTCTTTTACTTGTGCATGTATGTATTATGTTTTTAGGCAGAATAATCAAAACTGCAATATAATATATATGTTTTAATTTCTTTTTTAAACTACATCTTGTTTTAACATGTTTAATATCAGTATTTATTTTAAAAAATGAAATTTGAAAAAAGGAGGTAAACAAATTGAGAAAGATTCTTTTTTTTAAATAAAATGTAACAAAAAACTATAACTGTATTCTCTTCTGATTTGTGCCATGAAGGTAAGAAGCAGTGAATCTCTGACAGTAAAAGAGGGGGGACCTGCCCAAGAAATCAAAGTTCAAGCCACTGTTCCACCATCCTTATTTTGTCTGGCTGCAGGAAAAGATGGTGATTGTACAGTTGCTGTTAAGGCCACTACAGAATCACTTGAAAGAAGTCCTCCAACTTGTTCACAAGGTAGAACAGAAGTCTGAGTGGGGTCTACATGAAATATAGCATAATTCATTGAATGAAATTTCATACCTGTATAACAATTTAATATGTTAACAGATGTGGAGCCAGCACAGGTTGTGTTTCCTGAGAGAGAGGACTCCACAGAGTCTTGCAACGTAAAAATTACTGAGTCTAACTGGAGGAATGTGATAAGTATCCCAATACAGGCTGCTCAGGATGGTGTTGTTGATGGAAACCAAAGAGTTCAGGTGTCCCTGACCA